CCAGTGCTAAAGGGGGTGGAAGGATTACCTCCCCTTATCCTCACTGAACTTCACTAGGTTCCTTTCCTCCAGCCCTTTCCTCCAGCTTGTTTCTCCAGCCTATCAAAGTCCCTCTGGATGGCAGCACAACCCTGTAGTGTATCAGCTACTCTTCACAGTTTTGCGTCATCAGCAAATTTGCTGAGGATACACTCTGCCCCACCATCCAAATCACTGCATAAGATGTTAAACAGGATCAGACCCCGTATTGATCCCTGGGGCACATGGCTTCTTACTGGCTTCCAATTAGACTTTGTGGCACTGATCACCACCCTCTCGGCACAGCCATTCAAACAATTTTCAATGCACTTCACTGCCTCTTCATTGAGCCCATACATCAGCAGCTCCTCTATGATGATTTTATGGGAGACAATGTCAAAGGCCTTCCTGAAATTCAGGTAAACAATATCTACTCTCCTCCTGTCATCCACCAGGTCGGTCATGTAAATGTAGAAGTTTATCAAGTTGGTCAAGCATGATCCTTTTGGTGAAACTATGCTGACAGCTGCTTTTGATTTTCTTGTGCTTAATGTGCTAAGAAATGTTTTCCAGGATGAGCTGCTCGATCAGCTTTCCAGGGATCAAGATGAGGCTGACTAATTATAGTTCCCTCTTGCCCTTCTTGAAGATTAGATGTTTACATTCAGGCACTTCTGCAGGGTCCATGGTTATAGAAACCAAACCCAGACAGCAACTGCAGCTTTGCAACCAATTGTTAACATGTAGTCTACTCTTTCCCCTTAGCAGGAGGATTGAGAGGAACACTGCTTGGGACCCATAAGTAATGGCTGTCACCCCCAGAACTCTGTAGCTGCTTTTTATACTTTTGAGGTTGTCCCTGGTAGTATAACTCATGCCCACATGGGAGAAGAGCAAAAGGTAATAGAGAGTGGCACACCCTTTATCAGTTTCTCCACAACATCCTGGATGGATCCATGCCCTCATCCAGCACGGATCCATGCTCCCAGGAATCAGAAAAATTCTTTGGACATCAGGTCAGGTTGTCAGGTGAGTGCCTTAATCCCCTACAGCAGAGAGCTGCTGTCTACCACTTGCCACTTCCTCTAGGTTATGCTGCATGGTTCAGTTAGTTGTCCTGATTTCTTTGCTTGAAAGCACACCTGCCTCCTTCTCAGCTTTGAGGGAAACAAACCTGTCCCACAGCTGCAAGATTTCAGGTGGAGCAGGAGCCCTGCAGCTAGTTTGCGATATGCCTTTCGATGAAACATGCAACATGTTTTGAAGGAACAAAGGACTAATTAAGTAACAAACATCAGACTGTTGATTTAATATCAGTAAGTAACAGACAAGCAGGAATGAAAAAGGTTATAAATAAATCCCCTGAGGCAGGAGATAGGATTTATCTATTAAGAATTACTAACCAGCATGCCAACACATAGCATGTGCCAAATGCTAATTGCTGCAACTGATTAAAGCGCAACCCAGTTTATCAGCTGATTGTCAGTACCAGGTAGACAACAAGCTCTTGAAAATTACAAGCCTTTTTTTTTTTTAAATTTTTTTTTTTATTTGTAGGAGAGATTTCCAGTATGAACTCCTGATTTTTAATTGTTAGATAAGTAAGAGAGTAAAAGAAAGAGTCAGAGAAGAAAAGAGTGGTGAAGCAGAGTCCTGAAGTCTTTTCCCAATTACCCTGTGTCTGAAAGCTCCAGGTAGTTCAGCTTAATACAGTACAACTTAACACTAGTCCAAAATAAAAGGAAAAGGAAGTACAGGACTGTTTTTGGACAGAAGCTTTCCTATAGCATGACCTTCTAACATATGCAAAGTCTACTTGGAGCATAAAAGCAAATACACCCTAATAATTTTCAGCCATATCACAGCATTGTCAATGGTCACTTCACTGCAAGTAAAATACTGTTGCTTTTGTTAAACCCTCATTCCTGAAATCGTGTACTACCTTACAATGCCAACGTGTGCTTTGATGTACAGCTCCAATACCTATAGAGGAAGGAACTCTGGTGATACAGACCTTCTTAATGTGTAAAACAAAACCAGATTTACATTTTTAAAAATTAAAAGCTGCATCTCCTTTAGCCACCTGGTTGTATCAAGTGTTACCGCTTGAGGTTACTGCAGTTGCCAATGTCTAACAACTTAGCTCACCTTCTCTAAATACACTTAGAGAAGACAGTTGACCTGCTCTGCTTTCCTGGGACCTTTTCAGCACCTCAACAAATATGGGAGCAACTTATTATCAGACAGAAAGTTATACAGATACCACAGGTGACTGACTTATCATTGCAGGTTTTTAAACCATCAGGCACAGAGTAAGAATGGAACATTGAATAATCTTTTGTGTCATTCATAAACCTGTAAGAATTCTGAAAGACACATGTTGAGGTGTTCCTCTGTGCAAAACACTGCAACTACTGTACACAAAAAATACCTGTCACATGGCAGGAAGAGACAGCAGTTTCAGTAGGTCAGATGAGCACCTGATTTATTTATCAGCTTAAGGCCCTACAATGTAACACATTGTTTTTTCTAAACATATTGTTTAATGTGATTATATAATATATAGGGTCAAAGGCTGACTCGGCCTCAACCTGTCTGGATCTATGTAACAAATGAAAATGCAATGCTGTATGCGTAAATCCAGATACAAACGCTGCTCAGGTATAGCCTAAAACCAATTTTTAGTTCTCTAAGTTACCCTTCATTACAGAGCTATTCGCCATATTTTGACAGCTAATCTAATTACTTTATAAATGTCACTGTTGATTTTAGGAAAAGCCTGGAAGCACTGGTGGAAAATAGAAGCTTTGAACATAGCAGAAGCAATATGTAATTGGTTTTTAGATATAAAACGCATCTCTACTAAGATTTTGTGAAATCCTGAGTAGTTATATTGCTGCTGGCACAAAGAAATCAGAAAGTTCCAGGGAAAGGTAAGAGATAGTAATGGTCTTTTCAATATTAATGCCGAATAGCATATAATGAAAACACCATGTAGATCCCCTATTTATACTAAGCAACACTCATAGCTGTTAATGGACCAATGAAGTGAAGAGAGTAAGCTGTAGGACAGACTATAGTCAGAGCTAGAATCAACCCAAGTAGCAAATTCGACTACTGAAAAGAGACTTTTCTTGAACTGCTGAACATATAGAATGATTATCCAAAAGATAAATAACCTGTGTTATGCTTAGATACAGTTTCATTTATTATTTATTATCTAGTTCAAATGAAACCTCAAAATCAGAGAAAACCCTAGTTTCCCATCTTTTCCCATCCTCTATGAAACATGAGATAATCTGTGCAGAAGTCCTTCAAAGACCCCTACAAAAATCAAATCACACCATCAAGAAAAGCCCATTCCCTGTTTATCATTTTGCTCTGTGCTTCCATTGCAGAAAATAAGGTAAAACAGTTTCAATGGTGTGTAAATGTTCAAGGCAAAAAAAAAAGAATATATTGTCCAGTTTTCACTGTATTTTTAAACTGATATCTGCTAAAAGGCTATGTTATTCCTATGTACTCATTGATTAAATTTCAGGTTATTCGCTTTCATTAGAAGTTTATCTCCCAAGCTTGTACTTTGCTATGTTTAAAAACATGGCCAAAACAATGCACATTTAGCCACTGAATGTTCTACAACACATATTGAAATTGTTCCCAGTTTTACTGCTTTTGAATAGCAACTACTTTTGAAGCAAAAAGAAAGTATTGACTTTTAGGAAGTGTAGTATTTGGCAGCTAGTCACAGCCAACAAAAATGCTGTACACACACATGCATGTTGATATTGCAGCTCAGAAATAAATGCACATTGCTTTTGTTTAAGTATTTAAGTATCTGACTTCAGAAGCTTGAAAATAATGTAAATTGCCTTTAGTACACAAAGTTTCTTTCATTCATAAGACTATAAACTTTCAAAAAATTGAAAAAGCAAGAATGCAACATACCAATAACAGAATTCTCTAGAATCATAGTTTTTTAGTAAAAGATAATAGTTTAAATTACTAGCAAACCAAGTTGGGTAGAAAACCAGTCTGTTTAGATCAGGTTCAAAATGGGGTGTCTTCTGACACACAGATTTTGTACTGCAATGGATGATGATAATAAAATTATATTAACTGCATGAGATAAGTATGTTCTGGCAGTATTTTTGCTGTATAGGACACAGAAATAGAATTCAAATGCAGTTATGCTGAAATTAGAACTTTCAGTTATAGCTGACATTACCCACTGGATATCTTAGGCATAATGGAAACAGTTGTTCATGTACACCATTCTCCCCTTAAATAGAGGTATTTGACAAATTCTGTGACAAAAACTATCCTTTCTTTCTGTCTATAAGATTTTAGGAAGTAAAGTTCTACAAATGCTAGGAATAAAAGCTCTTAGGCCTGCAGGGAAGCGTTTGAGGGTACAGGTGAATGAAAAATTGGACATGAGCTGGCAGTGTGCATTTGCAGCCCAGAAAGACCATCATACCCTACATCAAAAGGAGCCTGGCCAGCAGGTCAAAGGGAGTGACTCTTTTCTATTCTGATCTCATGAGATCATCACCTTGAGTGTTGCATCCAGATCTGGGGACCTGTTAGCGCAGGTCCAGAGGAAGGCCACAAAAATGGTCAGAGGGCTGAATCACCTCTCCTATGGAGAGAGGCTGAGAGGTGGGTGAAGACTACAGGAGACCTTATTGCAACTCTTCAATATATAAAAGGTGCTCACAAGAAAGAGGGAGAAAGATCTTTTACCAGGGCCTGTACCACAACAATAGTTTAAACTCAAACAGGGTTTAGATTTATACTGGATATAAGGAAGAAGTTCTTTGCAATAAGTGTGGTGAGACACTGGAAGTTGTGGGTACCCCATCATGAGACGTACTCAAGTTCAGGCTGGACAAGGTTTTGAGAAATCTAATCTAATGAAAGATGTCCCCACCTGTGGCAGAGGGATTGGGCCAGTTGTTCTTCGAAGGTCACTTCCATGCAAAATTACTCTGTAGTTTTATTCAAAAATTCTGACAGCAGAATCTTTGTTTTGTTAATTCCATTTACACCACTGTTTTTTCTTAAAAGTTACAGCTCCCATAATGGACATCAAAATTCTATAAACACTGCAGCTGTGATTTCCGTTTCTGATTTTCAGGTATACTAGACTACAATAGAACTCTACAAGCAGAATTTCAAGCAATGCCAAATCAGATGTCTTAAGGAAGTTTATTACATCAATATTAATACCTAATCAACAAATTTTATAATTTCACTGAAAAAAAGTTTTGTAGGGTAGTTTCAGAAAGACTGATTTCTATAAGCCCACTTGGAGTTTTTTGAAACGTTCTCTTTGCTTCAGCTCTTGCTTAAAAGCAGCATTAACACCTAAAGAAAGACCAACTTGAGAGAGTTTAATTTTGGTTAGTAATCTAACAACAGAAGTTTGTGATGGGAATAAATAACACACTTACTATTTAAAAATTCTTTTCTTTCAAAAGAATTAATGCTAAAAAGTTAAAGAAGAAGGAAAACAGCAAAAGTAGTATTTTTTTTTTTATATATATAGAAGTCTTAAGGAGCACATCTTTTGCTTTTTAAATATGACTGATTTAAATGACACTACTGCACAGAACTGGACATAGCTTTCTATAAGAAAAAAAGCAAGATGTAAACATAATTTCCCCTAACTACACTCATAAGTTTAGGACTATTTACATTTTCAAATTTGAGTTTAATTTGAGTCTTAATACTCAAAATTCCAAGTCTTTTTAGATCAAAAAGTATTAATTTATTAAACAAACAAAAAAAATGCAAAATTAGATTCCTGAGACTCTATGTACCTATACATGCGTAGTTATATATAAACAGGTTAGTAAATGGAAAGCAACAAAACTTCTTATCCAGCAAACTCATTCTTATACAACTTGGAAAATGTCAATAAATGTCCACGAAATGCTGTAACCTGAAACCATTAGCAGGAGAACTTTAGCAACATTTTGCTGATAGTATTTGTTTACACTGCTTACTCCTTAAAATCTTATTTTATACACTGCTATATTATAAGACTGCTTTGCACAGTTTCAGTCATGTTGGTACTTGAATTTGAAAACAGATTAAAAGCTTATAATATGCTTGGAACAAAGCATCTGAATTGCTGCAGTTTCTATTTATAAAGTTGTTGAATTTTATCTAAACTGAAAATCCCAGGAAGGACAATTTCCTTGAAGAACAGAAAGTAAATGCAAACAACTATATATGTGTTTGCACTTTAAATATTGTAAAGCACTAAGTGAGTTATTTGGACTTAAGAAAAAAACAGCTCACATTCATTTTCTAAATTAATCCTTCACCTCTTATAAAAGAAAATCTCTTTTTAAGATGGTGATTATGTTCCACTGCTTTAACTACAGCATATAGTGTATTCAACCTGAGGGTATCGATGCCTGTGTATATTTTATTACAGTGAATATTTACTTTCATCAGGTCTAGATGTAAATTAGTGGCTGCTGCTGTGGACTAGAAAATAAATTTGTTGATTTAAAAGGTGAAAGAGCATCTTATGAAGGCTCTACTGCTCTTTGTTTTATCCGCAGTTACTGGGAGTAACTATAGTAAGAAATAAAAAAAAATCATGGTGATTTTTAAGTGCTTCTGGCCATCTGTGATTTCCAGTGTTTTCTATTACGATGGATAGTAATATTCTGATGTTCACTTGTGATTTAGAGATTTCTGTTCTTCAGAGCTGAAGACTGAATAATACTTTTGTAGTGTAGGAAGGAGCAGAATCTGTGAAAAGAGAAAAAAGAAATACAGCTCAGACTTTAGCTATGTAATCCAGCACAAATAAATGGAGCCCTTAGCTGGAAACAGCTAGGTTTGGTTTTATTTCAAAAGTTCTCTACAAGTGATCTCTCTGCTATCTTTCAGAAATTCTGCTAGCTCACATTATACAGAAACTATTCCTTCTCCAGTCTGCTTTTTAAAGGCAGGTATTGGCATAATCTGTAGCACAAGAGGTCAGAAGCAGGAAATACAAGAGTGATTTGTGACCCAACCTTAAAGCTTGGAGATAAGTTTTGTCTAGGAAGGCAGAAACATCTATTATCCCTGAGCTGCTTTACCCCAAATAGTATAAAGCTGGCCTATGCCTGGCAGGATCAAATGAAGGTTTCAGGAAGCTTGGCTGTCATTTTAGAAGTAGGCAGCTTGCATACTCCAGTGTGCAGTTTATGAACATTAAAGAATGGAAGTCCAGTATCAGAATGTGAAAAATATTCTGCAGCCACATTCCTTTACATTTCTTTTTTGCTAGGTCTTGTAGGACTGCTCTATAGACCACCTACATGCCAATTCATGAAATGCAAAGAATGAAAAGATACAATAGGATTCATTCCACAAAAATCCATTTCCACACACAAACTCTCAAAGGGATTTAAACTCTATATGGTATTTTGGCTCACAGGAAATTTTCCCTTTGTTTCCTAACATGTTTTACTAAATGAAAAAAAAAAGATATTTCCAGTTACTTAATTACAGTAAGTCTAAAACAGAACAGCAAACTAAAGTAACACAGATTTTTTAGGTGATGTGCAATAAAAACAATGTGGTCAAACAATAAGTACATTCTATACATCTCATTATTAAAATATGTTCTATAAATGCAAAGAGTATTTTATGTATATACTGTGTTTCTTTTTGAGGAGAAGAAGCACTTTTTGCTGGAATTCAGTTCCTAATGCTAATCCCCAGTGAGGTGAGCAAATCTGGAGAATAAGGAAAATCGTTGCATATATAGTCATTGAATTAATGTATGTGCAAATACACCATTAATTTTGTATGCATTTGTTCAATATCAGGTGTCTTAGTCAGGGCCCAAAATTTAAAGAAAACACATTAGACATTTTCACTTTTAGTCTTATTTACCATAACAGACAATTACAGTTTAAGGATATATTGCTTGTCCTCTTAAAAGTTAATGTTTCGGTTGTATTTCTGCATTTATATCCAAGCCGGTAGGAAGTTTACTGGAAGTTAACACATACCCCTTTCTTTTAGGTCTTCAATGTATGCTTTCATAAACTCTTTCTCGAATTGCTCCCGTTCACGTTCACTTTCTACAATTTCTTCAGTGTCTTCACATACAATAGTTTCAACTGGGCTGTCCTTGAGACTTACAAATCTAGAGAGAGATTAACGAAAGAATGTATGCATCAGGCTTCTGAACTTCACTGGCCTGCATGAATGACATTTTAGAAGTTGCTTCTACAGCCAGAAAGAGAAACATAAGGAACATTTGCTCAGTTTTTGCACTGTGGAATCATTAGGATCCACTTATTTGCAGAAGTAAAAATTTCAAATAACACATTCTCTATACTCCACTTTCCATATAAAATTTATGAGATTTAGCTCTCTTTTTTTTTTCTTATCTACATAAATCATTCTTTGCCTTAAGAAATATATTTCTTTATTATTAAACGTATGACAGACTACAGGATAATTTCACAACTGTTACCAAGCACTGCAAAATCCTTAATAACTGCCTGTAGTCTGGAATTTTGCCAGTATTACTTCACTGACAATATGTATCTCTATTTTTTGGTAGTTGTTATGTTCATTCTGTTTTACAATGCATGACTGGATATGCATTTTGTCATATTTGCAAATTTCCTAAAGTTACACATTGCAGATGAGAAACTAGATGGTTACATTCACATCTAAAATAACATGCAAATTAAGTCTATAACATTCTGAAAATCTCTGATGTTTTTCCCACTCAAGAAGTAACACATAATCCAAGAAATGTTACTTTCTAAAGAACAAATGGTCCAACAAATCATACAGCTTTTCAAAATCTCATGAATTGTTGTGAGTCTGTGGTCTGTTGGTCTTGGCTGCCAGGTTCCCACCAAGCAGCCCTCTCACTCCCTCTCCACAGCAGGATACGGGAGAATATAAGATGAAAAAGTCATAGGTTGAGATAAAGACAGCTTAATGTAGAAAAACAAAAGCCACACACAGAAGAAAAACAAAGCAAAATAAATATTAAATATTAAAAAAAAAAAGAAATCATTCTCTGCATTCTCTACTTATCAACAGGCAATGTCCACCCCTTTCCTGGGAACCAGGCATTCAGTATGGGTAGCACTATATAATAACCTTGTTTTATATATATAACCTTTGTTCCTGGAGTTTTCTCCGTATCAATTGTTTGCCCTTCCAAAGCTTTCTCTTGATTTTATTGCTGAGCATGACACCATACAGTATAGAATATCCGTTTGGCCAGTTTGAGTCAGCTGTCCCAGCTGTGTCCCCTCACAACCTCTTGCTCATCCTCAGCCCACTGGCCTTTGTGAGGGGGGTTTGAAGAGGCAGCCTTGATGTGGGAGCCCTGGTCAACAGTAGCAAAAAACCTCCGTGTCTCACCACCATTCTAGCTACAAATATAAATACAGCACTATGAGGACTACTGTGGCAAAAGTTAACTCCATCCCAGTCAGACCCAATATGGAGTCTCAAAAAGTATCATAATCAAAGGCCTGAGCATTGGCTGTAGAAATGCAAGATCATTGTGACTGCAGACTAAAAGGCCTTTTAGACTTAATCTGCATGCAGCAACAAGGTGCTGCTTCGCAACAGAGTATATGACCTACTAAACTCACATGACACTATTTAGACTTTTAACTCCCAGAAGCATACTTTTGACAGCACTAAGCTTATCAACAGCAAACTGCCAGTTTCCTGGTCCTGCTCTGGCACATGATTATGAGACTCCAGAGTTAGAACTACTACAACCATGTCTACACAGGAATAGCAGTTTAGGCATACAGATGCACAGTGTGGGGAAGTGGCAAATGAAAATCAGAAAACTGCTGTTCCTCTGCATTTTCCAAGCTTTCTAGTGCCTCTTTAATGGCTCTGATATAAATTGAGTCCTAATTTGTCCACCAGGTGTGGTAGAAACTGATGCCTGTGAAAATATTTCTGCTGAGTGCACCTACTTTATGTTATAAAGAGCATACTTTCTGTCTTTTACTTACTTTAAACCTGTGGTTGACTCACATACAGCGGTGGGTATCTCAACCAGGTTATCACCACTGACAACTAGCAAACTGAGCTTTGGCATATTGACAAGAGCTCGTGGAAGATAAGTCAACTTGTTCTTCTGCAGAAGAAGTGTCTGAAGTTGATCTAACCTGTAAAAATGTGAAAGATGAAGATAATAAAATATTTATTTCAGACAGGAATATTTATCCAAGATAGCAACACAGAATTAATCATGTACAAAAGAAGAACATGCACCATCTTTTGTTTCTCAAAAATTATTTATACCACACTTCCACAAACTGTCACCAACTAACTCTAGTGGAAATTTCCAGTCATGGTTCAATATCATAGATATTAATAGCATACCTCTGAAAAGTACTCAGAAACATTCCCCAGATAAAAGATTACAAAAATTATTGTGCTTTCATACACATGTTGACAGAATATGATATAAAGGCTCACTATGTGTATCCTGGAACTGATGAAAAATATGGGTCAGCAGTTCACACCTTTGCCCGTATGCTGGATTCTATGAACTAGATACATTCGTGCTAGGCAGTATATTCCCATCAATTGTTTTTCACTAGTAATTAATACTGCAGGGAGCAAGAGAAAGACCAGCTCCTGGTCGTATGGCTCTTGCAAGTTTTCCCATTGAAATCAATTTAATGACAGCGTTTTGTAAAGGAACATGTTTAGCTTGGTTTTCTTTACTTACCCTAGCTCTTTTCCTAATGCAGTAGTAATTTGTGACTGAGCATTTATTCCTTGGAGTAGATAGAAGATAGCAAGCTGATGAAACAAGTTTGTCTGATTGACAGGAAAAGCCCATTCCTTAAACACCATTGTAGAAAAACAGAGGAGATGAAATGTAGAAAAGGAGCATTTTGGAGACAGAGGAATATAGATGGGTTACAGGGGGGAAATGTCCCTTAAATTTAGTGAGTATCCTTCCATAAAATAAAAATCTTATTAGAAGCTCTTTCAAATTAATCAAATCTCAGTTCAGATCTGGGAAAAAAATGGCAGTTGTATACTGTTGTTGCTAGAGCATCTGAATTACTAATACAAAAGTTTTCAGCCCCTGCTGTCAGAGAAATCTGTGATTACACAATGCCCCAGAAAGGTCTTTTTGACCAGCAACAAGGGTTTTGAAAAAGTTAAGGTTGAATAAATTTTGTGTGAAGTTTCTTCTGCCTCAAGGATCTCTATTCCCAACTCAACAAATAATGCATTTTTTTTTAATATAAACTTTTGTTAATCCGTAGTTTCTTTACTTATGGTTATGTAACGTTCTGTAAACCAGATTACAGCAGGACTCCAGAGTGAATAAATAGGCCCAGGAATAAGTGCTTTCTCAGACTAGTAAATCCCATTAAGCAGATTAGCATGATTTTTTTAAAAATATCTCCAGTGGATCTCTAATTTGAGAATGTAAGTATATGTGTGCACATGAATATATACTCCAGAGTAGGAGGGGAAAATTGTCAGTGGGTTTTTCAAGCTTACTAATATTTTTCTGCTTTACTGACAAATTTTACCAGGTTCTTTAAATATGCTTTAGTTCATCTTTCCCTCCACCCTATTTACCCTCCAGAGTGATACTGCTGCCAACTCCATATCGTGAGTCCCCTTTGCTGGAACTGAGACAGTATGCCCCATGAACTTCCTAAAGAACAATGCTGCCATGAATGCAGCAGAAAATCTAACTAGTTAACTGAAAAGCAGAGGCACTGACTGTACAATCTGCCATTAATGAGCTAGAAAATGTAGTTTCTGTTATCTGACCTATTCCATCAATAATAATGGTAAAGCTTACATGCAAAACTGTATGATGCATTTCCAAGTGAGATTTTCTCATGTAATTTTTCATTAATGCTGTCCCTTAGAAGCTTGTTACTTTCTAGATTTGCTTTAGAGTTCACAAGCCTGCCAATAAATTAAAAACATAAACTACCTGTCTATGTCTTCTGGGAGGTCTTTCAGGTTGTTGCTGCTAATATCCAACCACTGCAAATTAGACATACGAAGTACACAAATTGGAATAGAATGGAACTTGTTTGCTGACACATCCACAACTGTGACTTCTTTCAGGTTACTTAGCTAGAAAGAAGTGGAACTTTATTTTAGTTATATTTTCCAAAGTACAGAAAACATTTTATTTATCAAAAGTTCCTGTTTTTCTCAAAGCACTTTGAAAAATAAGAATTGCATGATTATTTTTATTCAACTTTTTGCCAGTCTTATCTCTTAATCATCATTTTATACCAAAAAAAAAAAAAAAAAATTTCAGAAATAACTATCATCTCCTGAAATGTTCATCACCTTTCTAACACCGTCATGGTATCAAATGAAGTTTCAGAAGACACTAAGGCTGGATCTAAATAATGGCTGGGTTCTTTCCTAACTTGCATATGAAGTAAGCTCTGAAGTGACAGAATACAGTTTTGATTATTGTTAGAGGAAAAGTTGCCATTCACAAAATCAGAGATTTTATAACTCTCACAAAACCCACATAATTTCCTTTGTTACAACTCTGTTATGCACTGAGAGTGTATTGCTAGGAGACCCTTAGGAAATTAAACTGTCAATTTAAGCAAACAGAAAATTTAGTCAAATATTTTTCAAAGATCTTTAAAAATACATCATCCATACTGCAAACTAAATAAGGTGCACTAGAGCTTTTTATTTTATGCTTTTCAAACTAATTACCTTTTTAAATAATAAACCTTTACCACAATGAAGGTTAAGTACAAATGTAAAATATACCTGTTAAAGAAATAAATGTGTTAAATAAACCTCTCTGTGTAGTGAATCGATTATTCAAATTATCAGTGTTTATAAAACCATGCATCTAGCTAAAGTGAAAGTCAAAGGAGTATAAATGTTAATGAAAAAAAGTACTTTAGAATGGAAATTATGTTGCTGAGCCCCTAATCATATGTCGCCATCCCAATCTAGCCCTATAGATCCTGCTACAAAAGAGAAAATATCAAAAGAATTTCATTGGTCTTTGCCTGAAGGTTTCTTAGAGTGTAGAAAATTTTTAATAGCCAAAAACCCCAAACCAAATATATTTTCTGCTTCCAAAGTGAGCAAAATTCAAACAACAGCATAAGAATTAAAGAAGTAGAAAGCAATAAAATACATTCTGAATCCTTGAGAGGGATTTATTATTATTATTATTTAATAAGAATCTACTTATGTTTTGTTCTATTTTATGGATAAAATTCTTACTGCAGTATTGACCGACTTTTATCTTAATTTGACCTCTGCCATTTAAGATGCTCATATTCACAGCTTGGTGCTATGTCAGAGCCAGTTTGGTTTGGGATTTTTTGGCAGTGGTTTTTCTTTTTGTTGTTTGTTTGTTTGCTTGTGGAGTGTGAGGTTTTTTGTTTGGTTGAGCTTTTTGTTTTGTTTTCTGTTTTTTTTTTTTCTAGATACAACCTCATATTGCTGTGTAACCTTAAAATTTGGGGAAATCTTTCCAAGGACATGTACTGAAGTTATCATATTACAATTGACTAGACAAATTTACCTTTCAAAAACAGAGTAGATGTTCAGAGTTTCTCAAGTCAAAGATATAGTTTCAAAATCTGCCCACCACTGTATTAGAACAGTCTTGGTAAGGCATTACCATGGAAATGCTTCCCTCCTGATTCAGAGCAGGCAAGCACACATCTTTTCCTGACACATCTCACTTCAAAATTATTCTGTTGTTTTGAGGACTGACTACCAGGAATGACTACCCACTCACACTGTAAATTTGCAGAAACTGAATCTTTTTTCCAACAAAACAGAACCTCAATTTAAACAAGAGTGACACTTCCCGATTGTAGGAATGAGAGAATGGAGAAAATAATTAGCACTACCTTTACACTGCATTCACTTTGTGTTTTCAGATTTTGTCACAATTCCAAATCCCAAGCAGATATTTCAGGCTTCTCTGCACTTAGAACAATTTGCTCTCCCCAGAAGGAATTTAGCAGGCACAGATATAAAACAATGTCCCACAGATTTAAATTCCACCCAAAGTGTTCTGAAACCATTCCCAGAGAAGGAAAGCCACAGTTCCTAAACACAAAGTGGCAAATTACTTTAAAATCAACTCACATCACTCTTCACACAGATTCCTAAACACATTGCTTTCACATGCCGTCCCTGTCATGCTCAATGTAGTAACATTAGGTGGTAAAATGATATTTCTTCAACGGCAGAAGATAGTTTTATATGTTTTCCTGAAAGTGCTTTATTGCATTAAAAATTAAAAGTAACATTAATATAGCAATAGTATTTTTATGAACAGATATTTTTCTGACATTTTTCATCTAGTATTGATGGCAGATTGGTTTAATGCTTGACTAGATGGAAACCTTAATTTTTCATGAGTTTGTACTCCTGTAAAATGTAACAAAATATAAGGCCATGGACTCCCTTGTTAGTAAGTTTGGTTCAACATGCAGCAGAATATATGAAGCCATGATTATACTGTATAAGCTGCAAGCCCTTAATATTTTTAATTTTAGGGTAATATTTAACAAAACATGTCCATAGTATGTTGAAACTTAATGGAGCTTTTATTTAATCTGTCTCTGATACGCCAACAACAAACACCTATGATATAAAATGATTGGAAAATATGGCAGCTATGTGTTATATTTTCTAAAGAAAATCCTTTGTATTTTATACCTTCTTGAAGGACTGATGCATTTTTGCACCTTTTATAATGTTTAGTTTTCAAACAAACATGGCTCCCTTATCATTTTTACATTACATTTTTTTTTATGTTGATTTTTGCTATTTTGTTCTATTATGTGACTTTGAATCAATCAGTATATAGCTTTTATGGAGGCGCCATTTTAAAAAATAGCTATATTTAATACTGCAGCTACCTGGACTTGTCATTCTTATGTTTAATCACTCTTGCCATTTGTATTTGACAAATATCCCCATTTTGCTTATCTTAATAATTTTGTTCACAGAAATAATCCAGATAACCTTGTGGAACTCCACTGCTTCCCTTTCCCTCTAACAGCTAAGCCTTCAGTTGAAAGAAAAGGAGACCATGTCCTGGGCTGAACAAGTTATGTCATTTATGGGTGTGTTTTTATTTCTGTTCTGCTTTTTGACATGAAAGGGTTTTACTGATAAAGTTGCATGCAAGTTTATCATGTGTTACCTACTACTTAACACCGACAAATGGAAAGGTGTAAAGTCACATCAAGATTTACAACAAAAATACTGTATTTTTTTGTTACATTCTGTGACAGAAACAGCATCCCATCAAAGTTAATGTACGACAAGTCATACAAAGGCTTAACCAGGAAATGTCTATCAATACATTACAAATGTGCTTGCGCCCACAAATTCCAGACTCAATGAATTCAAAGAAAATTTATATCACAGTAAGATCATATTTCCGAATATGTTGTCTCCAAATCAAATAGAGTGGTACTCAGCATGACATTAGCTTGCTGAAAGCATTACAGTATATATAGCAAAGGAGCACGTTAAGTGTTAACTGCTCACTTTCCCACATATATCTCATGCATTCAAACCAAATCCCTAGCTTTTCTTTCACCAAGTTGTAAGTATAACCTATTCTATAATCTCATTGACACTCCTGGAGTAAAGCCACAATTAAAGAAATAGTATAAGAGCATCTTTAGAGGCAGAAGATATGTTTCGTGAAGACCTACATGTACACTTGAATTCTAGTCCTCTATGAGACTTCCAGACTGGGCTCTTAAACTTGAGGAGGCCAAGGTATTTAACAGTCAACTCCAACCCGTAGTAACAGTGCACTTATTCACAAAACCCTCTGAAGCGTAAAAAAGCATAACTTCAAATAACACTTCTTTTGGTACTAAATAAGCTAAATACAAGAAACATATGTAAAAGCCAGTGTTCAACCAAACAGAATTATTCTGATTTTGTAATGCTAAAATCCTAAATCTTTTGCAGAGTTAATCCACAAATACACACTGTTTTTCTGATGCTGAAGTGTAACATTATCCCCTTCATCACTGGAGCATTATCATCATCTAAACACCTACTGTTTAAAGTCTAATAAGGTAATTATAGCTATGGTGATGTAAGAATAAAAAGTCAACAGAGACTTTGCTTTTTATTTAAGCAGGTTTTTTGATACACAAACCTTTCATCATGTCTGCAAAGAATGAGAACACTGGCTGCATATGCAGTACTCACAAAAATATCAAGTATTCATTATTCATAGGTCATTGAAGAACCAGATAGCAGTAAGAGCAGGACTATTTTCATACAGTTAAAATCCCAAAGAATGTGGATCATGTGTTTAAGAGTTGTTCCAAGCCACTAGATGAGTCATATGCATGAAATTAAGTACCAAATTACTGATTTTCTGGACTGAGGCCAAAACAAGCCTGCTGTCTCAAAAAACAAAAAAAAAACAAAAAAAAAGAATTTGTGATGATTAGTAACATTAAATTTTCATAGTATTACTGCTGGAGCTACACACAGTCTGCATATATTACTGCACTTTGCTATCATAAAGTCATATCTTCTTCAAGTTTACAAAACTTCTAAATTAAGGACACACATTAGAAAGGAAAAACTGGTCCCTACCAGAAGTCAATTAAAGGTTTCTCATCAAATCAAATGGATTCAGTAGTTCACTTGGCATGCATACTCTCCATATGTTTTAATTGAAGCCATTAGAAAAGAAACAGCAGCAATGTCAGTAGCATAAAGGCATTAACTGACCTCTACAGAACATTTGAATAGGAAGTATCCTTTAAATATGTCAAAAAACCCTTTTAACATATATTTTGTTCCTTCAGAACAAGATGACCAAAACTACTCACTTTCACAACAGAACAGAGACAAAGCCAAAATCTTTTTTTCTTTCATTTCTGCTTTGAGATGCAACAGCAATTGAAGCAGTACTATTCAAATGATGCCATCTTTATTATGATTTAAACATACGTAATGAAGCTGGGCTTTCAAGACAAGAAGAATTTCCTTCATACAGATCTGACACAGGCACTGGACATTTGGCAGCCTTCCAGTAATACCACCTAACCACATGATGTTTATTACTGCCCCATGGATGAGAACAT